TGGTGGAGGCAGGGATCCAAGAGAGAATGTGGAAGCATTCAAGTTTTCATAAGACTCAAGCTCAGAACTGTATCACTTCTGCCACGTTCTTTGGGCCAACCCAAGTTATAAGGCCAGCCCAGATTCCGCGAGGAGCTGCAAAGTCACATTACAAAAGGTGTGCATACAGGGAGGGATGGAAAATTCAGGCGATTTTGTGATTGATCTTCCATATTACTTAAAAAGCTTTCAATTCCACCAGGAAGCTATAAAAAAAATTCTAAATTTCTACATGCCCCATAAAATATCCTCAAAATATAAAAATGAAAATAGAACTACAGGAGGAAATTGACACAATGACTCTTAGAGTGGGAGGTTTCAGCGTACCTTTTGCTATTATTGATAGGTCAAGTACACACAAAAAATTATTGAAGATATAGAAGAGTTGAACACATTTCTGAGGTATTTAGTCAACAGATGTTTACAGCATACTTTCTGTGTGTGAGGCCCTATTCTAGGTGTGCTGGGCATCTGGCAGTGAACAAGTCAACAGTCCCTTCCTTGGAGAGTTTATACTCTAGTGGAAGGAAACAAATAATAAACAAATAGGTAAAACAAACATGAAGACAACCATGAAGAAAAACAACAGGGAAAGGGGATATGGAGTGCTTGGCTGTTAGGGTGAGGGATTTAACTAAAATAGCACAGTCGGGGTAGGCGCTACTGAGGAGACACCTGAGTGGAAGCCTAAGAGGTGAGTGAGTGAGTCAGGTGCTTATCTCCAGGACTAGTGGAGGGAACAGAGGCCCTAAAGCAGGAGCTGGTTTGGCAGGTTCTAGCAGTAGACCAGGCAGGCTTGGTAAGGTGGGAAGGGATAGGAATATCGGGGGCCCAATCACCCATGGCTTTATAGGCCACAAGATGGATTTTGGATTTTAGTCTTGGTGATGGGAAGCCCCAGGAGGGTTTTTGTTGGGGGGAGGAAGGATACCGGAGAGCATTAGGGGTGAGGACCCCAGGGGGAAAGATGGCTGCTTGGAGATGATGGTCAGGTAGCCAGACTTTTAGAGGTTGCTGGGTACCAGTCCTTGTCAGGCAACATGTCCCCAGGGAATTCTCCTTGCTTTGCCTTTCAACTACCTAGACAGCAGGTTATTCCCCAAAGGATGTCACAATCTCCAGAGAACATATTCCAATTATGCTGGAAAACAATGTAACTGTGATTAAAGTAGTATTCATCTTCTCCATTCTCAGAGCAAAAACCTATCCAAAGCAAGAACAAAAGGTAACTCCAGAAAGCACTCCTCCCCCCCCTTGGGAAAACCCAGTCAACTATTTATGGTGCTACAGGTTATGTGAAATTATTGTCAGTTTCAAGTCTCTCTCAAGATACAATCTTACATGAAAGAAGGAAATAAATGGGGAGCAGTTAAACAAGTATTTGTTGAGCACCTACTATGTGCTACACACTCTTCTATGTGCTAAGGTTTTAGCAGGAAACAATGATCCCTCCCCTCATAGGGAAGATAAATATATAACATAAACACAAAAATATGTGATATATTAGATGAGATAAATGCCCTGAAGAAAAATTAAGTAGAAATAATGTACATTTTTGGACTAGGGTGTTACAATTTATTTTTTTTTATCTTTTTAAAGACTTTTATTTATTTGAGAGCACAAGCAGGCAGAGGCGCAGAGGGAGAAGGAGAATTAAGCTCCTCACTGAGCAGGGAGTCCGGTGTGGGGGGCTCAATCCCAGGACTCCAGGATCATGACCAGAGCCCAAGGCAGCCACTTAACCGACTGAGCCACCCAGGCGCCCTGATTATTACAATTTAAATAAAATAGGCTTGGGGGGGGGGGGTGGAATAGACTAATTGAAAAGAGAGAAGGGTTGGGGAGTGTCAGGGAGGTAAGGGCAGGGCTTGGCTCTCATCTTGTAGGGGCCCTGTAACACAACCACTACAGTGTGCAAGTTTACGATTTATAATCTTACTTCCCATCCTAAGACAAGGAAAAATTTCCTGTAACCAATATGGTAATTTCTGACTTCTAGTTCTCTGAATTCTGTAAATTGGGATACATTTTACTACCCATTATCAGAAAAAGATTACACAGCTCCATTTAGCAACTCCAGTTGTGACAAGTCCCATGCCTGGGCTAGAACAAAGACCCAGTGATGGCAGGACAGATTCTTCGATTAGTTATCTTGGCAGGATTTTCTTTTTTCAGCTGAAGCGAAGTATTAGTCCACCTGAGTGGAGCTGCCTGAAGGCCCAGTCTGGACTTCCTCCAGGAGGGGGCCCTAGAATAGGCAGTCTTTAGTGTGAGGCTCAGGAGAGGAGAGAGCCCTGGCACAGCTCTGTTCGGGATTCATATACTAGCTTCCACAGATTAAACACACATGCACTGTTTTCTCCTTTCCAAATCATGTACCATTTTCTATTAGATTCAACAGTGTCTGTAAGTAATAATGGGTATCCAGTGTTTAAGAAAATGGGGATGTCTGGGTGGCTCATTTGGTTGAGCATCTGCTTTCAGCTCAGGTCATGATCCTGGGGTCCTGGGATCAAGTCCTGCATGGGGCTCCTTGCTCAGTGGGGAGCCTGTTTCTCCCTTGGCCTGCTGCTCTCCCTGCTTGTGTGCTCTCTCTCTCGCTGACCAATCTTAAAAAAGAAAATGTTTGATTTCCTCATTAGTTACCATAACTTGAGCAAATGCCAACCTCTCAATTTCCTCACCTGTAAAACAGGGATAACAAGCAGGGATGCAAATGAAGAGCCTGGCATCATACCTGATGTATAATAGGTTCTTAATGTTCTCTCCCTCCCTTCCCCCATCTTAACAAAAGAGATTAGAGTTTAGGTATACTTACAGGTATCCTTTAAAAAATAGGGCTTGTCAACCTTTAATGTGTGGGCCAGTTACCTGGGGAATCTTGTTAAAAGTGCAGGTTCTGATTCAGTGGAGTTGGGGACAGGGATTCTGTATTCCCAATAAGCTTCCAGATTATGCCATGCTGCGGACCTGGAATCACTCTTTGAGTAGCAAGAATTAATACTACACAAATTCCAATAACACAGCTACTGCACAAAAAGCCCCTAAACGGGCTGTGGATTGTCTCTTTCTATAAAAAATTAACTCTTCTATTTGAGCCTCATGTGGAGTCACTGACCCAGCCAAGTAACCAGGCCAGGTCATAAAGAATACATCCTTTGGTCCAGGAGGGTTCACAGCACCACTTCTGCAGGAAGATCCTGCAATTGTCTCTCCTCCACTTTTGGCTTTTTGATCTTAGCCTTTGCCTCTGATGATAATTACCCCTTAATTAGCACCCACCACTCTGTCATCTAAATAATTATGGTAAGTGCGGCTTGCACCTCTGCTGGCAATCTCTAAACTGATAAAATAAGATCCTATGCTGATTTTTTTAAAAAGACAAAACTGACCCAAATACAAGTCATGCACATACTGCCCACAGTGGAATACACAGACCTATTATAACTTCCAGTCACATAAGCTATCAAAAGTTGATTTATTTAGAAACAATCAAGAGAAAGTACTGTTGTGATATCTGGGAAATTGTAAATGTCAGAATATAAATTTTGCAAGGAGTATTGCAAAAGTAATACAAGTCAGCCATGCTAAAATCCACCTTAAATTCCTATTGGGAAGGGCTGCATGATCTCTGAACTATTTTTTCTTTATTCGGAGTTTCCTGAATATATTGGAGAAATCTGGTTAACTTCTGGGTGCATTCAAAGCAAATTATCCTTTTGTGGAAGAAGGGGCGGGGTTTTCACTGGAAGCAATTAGTTTTCTAATTTCCCAGGTGTATCTCCATTAATCATGCACCGAACAGCAGGGCTGTCCAAGCCAGATGAATCATGCACCTCTCTTAGCACGAACTGATTGTACTACTTTTTAGAACGCTGTTTTCCCACTGCAGCTTTTAAAAAAAGACAAAAACTCCCAAATTTCCAACTTTCTGAATAGGTAATACATTGATCTGGAAGAAGAACCCAAACAGCACAAAGGAGTGTACAGTGTAAAATAATACTTTTCTCCCTTATCTCCCACCTCCCTGTCCTCCCCAGAGGCAATCACTGGTTCATTTCTCTAAACTTTTCATTATGGAAAATTTCAGAAACATTAGAGAGACTGGAATAATAAGCCCTTGTGTACGCATCACGCAACAGTGGAAAAACACCCCGCTGGTTTGTTTTATTCTCCCTCCCCCGGTATTATGAGTTATTTTTCAAGTAAATCCCAGACTTGAAATCATTTTACCCGTCAAAACTTTAGTCTTTTTTTTTTGTTCTTACATAACCACATTACCGTTATCACACCCAAGAAGGTTAACGATAATTCCTTAATACCATCCAGTATTCTCGGGGTCACTTTTAACCGGTGCGGGACAGACCCGAGAACTACGAACGTACGGGCCGAGGGGTCGGAAGGGGAGCATTTAAAGCTAGAACCGACATCACTCGCCGCGTTAGGTGCCCAGTGCTCCGAGCTTCCCGGTTCCCGCAGTCGTTACCTGCGCCGCGCCAGCACCCGCCAGGCCGGGTTGGAGGGCGGTTCCGAGGCGCGAGCTCCCCGCCTCCCCGCTCTCGGGCCGTGGCCCGAGCAGGCCTGGCGCAGCTGCACAACCCACCGTCCCTAGACACCGGCCGGTCCCTGGGGGGGAAACGATTGACACAGCTGCCTGCACTGCGCCCCCCGGCCCTCCCCCGCGGCACCTGCGTCTCGCGGCGGGGCCGGGAGCTGGAATTGGCTCCCGAGCCCAGGCGAGTCAGGCCTGCCACGACCGCTCCTCCCGCCACCCGCTCCCGCGCCCGGTTCCGAGCAAAGAGACCTCGCGGACCCGGACTACAACTCCCGTCGGGCGCCGCGGCCGGGCCAATGGCGGGCGCCGGAGCATGCGGGGAGCGGCGCCTGCGCGGCGGTTTGAGTAAGCGGCCGCGCGATTGGCTGCGGGGTCGGACGGCCGCGCGGGGCCTGTGGGAAGCGGAGTGACGGAGCGAGCGGCTGTTGGAGGAAGGAGGTGGGGGCCGGGAGTGCAAATGGCGTTGAGATGGTTCAGGGCCCTGTTCAAACTCCAGCGCTGACCATTCACCGGCGGAAACGGCGGCGCAGGAGGCGGCGGCGGCCTAGCGGGGGCACGTAGCGGGCTCCGGTACCGGCTCCGGCGGCGGCGGCGGCCAGGGAGGCCTAGGCCCGGGCCCGGCCGGTGGCGCTCAAGGCGGGGAGGGAAGTTGCGGTGCCGCCGCTCCTCCCCCCCCTCCTCCACCGGGTTTCCTATTTACCCAGAGCGGAGTCGCGGGTTCTGACGGTGGCGGAGCCCCTTGCCTCTCTTCCCGCACAAGCCGGCCCTGTTCTCCCGCGCGGGGCTCCCGCGCCCGTCCGTGGGCCGTTGGGAGCAGGAGAGGCGGAGGCGGCCCGAGGCCAAAGCACCCGCCAGGCGCCGAGGGTAAGTGAGGTCTCGGGCGGCTGCCTAGGCCCGGAGGGAGGGTGGGGGAGGCAGGGGTCTGGAAGTCTTGCTGTCTCACCCACACAGCCTCTGGGGAAGTTGGGCAGGGGAACGACCTGAAGAACTCTCTTTTCCCTCTTTTATTTTTCCTTTTTCTGAGTTCCTCCGGGCGGCTGCTGATTTACTTCCCTCCCCAAGCGCGGTCAAGTGCGTTGGTTTCAGCCCTGAGTCCTTCGCCGTCTTTCCTCCGCCCCTGGCCTCCACCGAGGCCTTACACTGCCTTGGGGATTCAGTGGCAGAGGCTTCCGGGGCGTCGGAAGCTACATCCCGTTCCTGGCGGTGGGGGTGGGGAGGAGAAAAGTTGCGTGAGCTTCCAGCCGGAGGGGGCCGCCTCTCCCGCTACCTCCGGGTGCACCGACCGCCCCCAGGTGAGGATTTCTGGGTGGTTAGCTTCGCCCTTTCCGGCTTTACTCCTTAGTGGAAGCCTCTAAGCCCTTGGGGATCCTAAAGACGTTGCACTTGGTTGAGGGTTAACTGTGAGGACTTTTTATCCCAGCGCACTTTCCTGAAAATTCAACCTGGCTTTAGGCAGAAGGAAGGGCCCCACGACCGAAAAAGACTTAGTTGTGAATCATTCTTTCCTTTTTCGTTAGGAAAGTCTTTGGAGTTTGAAGCCTGAGCAAGACAGCCTGTGTATTTGAGATGTACTTAAAATATAGTGTCAACTGTGTCTGCACACTTACTTGAATTTATACGTACTTTACATCCTAGGCTTAGATAATGCCATCACAATTGTCTGTCTAGTGACTTTTCCAAAAAGACATGGAAAACTTGAAAGGAAGTCAAAAGTAGGGGATATTACGTAATGAGCACCCTGTATTAATCGTTAAGATTCAACAGTTATTTATTCTTAACCAAGTGTTTCTCATCTACACACTTTCCGTTCCACACCCTTTAAAGCTAGAGAACTGCTTACGTTATTTCATTAGTATTTTAGTATATGTTTATAAAAGATACGGACTCTTAAAAAACAAAAGCGTGATTTTCTTATCGCTTAATATATTTAACTCCTTTATATCAAGTGTTTGCAGACTTTCAACTTGCAACAGTGAATGCTTTGTGGTTCCAGGACCATTTTCCTCCTGGGTCCAAAGGAGCTCAAGTCTAGATTTTTGGTTTTTAGGTGATTACTACATTTTTAGGTGATTACTACCGTGAACTGTATACAAAACGTTCCAGCTTTGTTGGTGTATATGTAAATGTAGGTCTGTAGATCAGGGCTTTACATTCTTGGAGGAATGAAATGACTTCATTCTGTTGTTCTTACAGATACCAAATATATTTAGTTTTGTTTAGACTGTATGTAACAGGAAAGACAAAGATTCTTTAGCGTAAATCAACAGTAGATCGGGAAATAGATCTCTCTCAGGAAAAGGTCATGTTAAAAGGTCTTCACACTATTTTCTCTTAATGAAGATCTGTGTGATAGTTAACTTTGTCAAATTAGAATTGGTTTCTAACCAAATATGAGAGAGAAAAATCCTCTACTGAATATATATAAAATTAAGTTTATAGTGATATAAGTTCCAAGAATTTAAGTTAGTAAAGGAAAAATGTGTTTAAAGAATAGACCAAAATGTATTCAAAAGTAGAAGTCAAATGTCATTCCTGTTGTATTTTAAATTTCAAGGTATGAAGATTTTCTTTTCAAAACCTAGACAATTGTTCTTTTTTTTAAAGGTGTATTTAATATAGCGATACTTAAACTTTAGAAGGTTGAAGTGTAGGAAATGGATAAGAATTGATAGTATTTAAAAAGGACTGTAACTCGCTTTAAAAACGTTTTACTCTTGATGTACTGTCCTGAATTTTTTTGTCATGGTATTTATTATGTAGACACATCAGGTGAGTACATTTATCTCTTATAAAGCAAGGAGGAAAATAAAGTTACATGTTTCTGTTGCTTCGTTTAATAATCAGCAGACCAGTCTAATATGCTGGAGTTCACCAGCTTCAGAAAACATAACTTCAGCAAATGAGCACAGCACTATAGGGACAAGGAAGATAGAATAAGGAGATGACAAACTAGGGAATATTTTTCAAGTCACAGTTCAAACTACATTAGACCAAGAATCAGAATCTTTAAGATTGTTTTAAAAGCTGTAGATTCTAATACATGAGAAAATAGTACCATTTTTCTGACTTTTTCCCCTTCATTTGAATAAATGCTCTGAAGTTTCAAAGACCTGATTTAGTCAGTTATTTGATATTTCTGAGATCCTGAAAAATAACATTTCGTGTTTAAGATTTTATATTAGGAGTAATAACCCTATTCAGATTATTTTTTTAAGGTAACACTGATATTTATAAGAATAGTGCATAGATTCATTTGAAACTTAAAAAAACTGATGTTCCGCTCTTAAATTGGTTTTGGGGATAAGTTGGTTAGTCATTAGACTTAATTACTTTGTAAGTAGTTTGTGAATATGTACTCATTGAAATAAGGAAATTGAGATCTGGAAATCTATAGAATAAAAAATGAGCCCCTTTCTTTATACACCCTCCCCATATTTATTTAACCATTTTTAAAGGTTTATATCTTGAATGTTGAAAAGCCCCATGGGGAGACTCCCTGTTTCTTTTTTTTATATTCAGTGTTAACATTTACTAAGTATTTGGTGATTATATATATTCTTACATTTTTTTTTTCCACAGAGAATATGAAACAGGTGTCAAAATGACATCCAGATTTGGGAAAACATACAGTAGGAAAGGAGGAAATGGCAGTTCAAAATTTGATGAAGTCTTTTCCAACAAACGGACCACCCTTAGCACAAAATGGGGAGAGACCACATTTATGGCTAAATTAGGGCAGAAGAGGCCCAATTTCAAACCAGATATCCAAGAAATTCCGAAGAAACCTAAAGTGGAAGAAGAAAATACTGGAGATCCTTTTGGATTTGATAGTGATGATGAGTCTCTACCAGTTTCTTCAAAGAATTTAGCCCAGGGTAAGGGTTCCTCTTACTCAGAATCTAGTGAAGCTGCTCAGCTGGAAGAGGTCACTTCTGTACTTGAAGCTAATAGCAAAATTAGTCATGCAGTGGGTGAAGACAGTGTTGTATCTGATAAATGCTTACATTTGGAAGAAACTTTGGTTGGGAAAGAAAAGAGCACAAACCGTATCGTAGAAGATGATGCAAGCAAAAGTAGCTGTGCTAAATTAATGACTTCAGGTAAGTTTTTGAATTTCTTTATTCTGAGCCAGAAGAGCTTTGTGTAAGCCATTCAGTTACATGCTTTAAATTCTAAAATACCATGCTTCTTGGGTTTTCTTTCTGCATTTGTGATTAATGGGGACTATAGATAATTTTGTAGAAAAGACTTAAGAACTTTAAAGAAACTAATTTGGGGTTGAAATTTTACTTAAGCAACTTGGATATTAATGTTTCCAGGCTGTTACTCATGGTACATTTTGGGAATCGTTTTTCCAACATCCCTAACTCCATTTCCAGCAAGAAACATCTCTTTTTGTTGTCTTTGGATGACAGTATCTCATTTCTGTTACTGTGGAGGATTTGTATTGTTAATGATAATGGAAATGAGATGAGCATTTACAATGAGGATTAAGTTTAGGAGTGTTAGGCTTTCCTTCAAAACTAGTTTAGAAAGATTAAGGAGGTATTGTGGAAACCTTGAAGAATTGAACTTCATTGCAGTCTGAGATTTGTTTGGAGTCTGGTGCTGGTAGCAACTTGTATTAATAGATTTTAATCCACAAAACCAGTTGTATTTTTAAAGTGTTAATTTGTAAATCTGGCATCTAGAGTTCATTCAAAAAACAATATATTTTGTCCGTTTTACCTCTAGTCCTTTTGTAAAAGACTTGAGACTTACAGTAACTGGTAAAAGTGCAATTAATTAAAAGACCAAAGAACTGAGATTGGAGGTAGCAGGAGAGATAGCATGCTTGCTTTATTAGCAGTAGGACAAGGATGGCACTGTGGTTGAAAACAGACCTTAGATTTCAACTTCCTGGCAAGGTTTGGTGATACAAAAGGTTATATAGATCTCATATTTTGAAAGGAAGTAAAGACAAAACTTCCTAGTACTGAATTCTTTTTTTTTTTTTTTTTGAGAGAGAGAATAGAGAGAGAGAGAGCACATGAGAAGGGGGAGGGTCAGAGGGAGAAGCAGGCTCCCCGCTGAGCAGGGAGCCCGATGCGGGACTCGATCCCAGGACTCCAGGATCATGACCTGAGCCGAAGGCAGTCGCTTAACCAACTGAGCCACCCAGGCGCCCCTAGTACTGAATTCTTAAGAGGAGTTTGTCCTTGAGGCTTAATATAAGTGCCTCAAACAGTATAATAAAAGACTCTGCCTTGCATAGTTTTACTAAAAATGCTGAACATTTTTCACTCTTTTTCTCACCCTTGGATGAGAGGATGAGCCAGCTGTTATTGTCATTCCCTTGATTCTCCCGGTTAATTCTGATTTGGCTGTTCTTATGCTTTGCCCACATTTTCTTCCGAAGCATTGTTCAAAACTTAAGGTTAGGATAAACTGTCATTAAAAAAATAGCTTAAAAACTGTTTCCCAGATCAGCTCCTAAAAACATAATCATAGGACTGTTGAACCAAAATAAACTAACTCAGGTCTCTTTACTTTATAGATGAGGCTCAAAGAGGTAAAGTGACTATCCAAGGGTGGCTAGTGGCACAATTAGAATGAGATTTATTTATCAATTTTTAACATGTTGAGCACATACTGTGTGCCCTGCACTGTGATAGGCTGTGGGAGTGCTGTTCCACTTCAGTTATCCAGTGTTCTTACTGCTGTGTCTTGACCTCCGATAGTTAATCCACAGTGTGGGGTACATAGCCTGGAGGAAGGAAGATGAGGCTGAGGAAATGGCGAAACTGGTCAAGGAAGGCAGACACAGCTTTCCCAAGTGCTGTCTTTTTGAGAACAGGCCATCACTGGCAGGCAGAGAGAGGGTAATGGGATGAATGTTTAGGTAGAGGGACAATACAAACTTAGAAATTAAATATACGTAGACAGCAGTTGCTTATGTAGTTTTGCTGATGTTAACATCTGTATCTGTCCACACTGCCATATGAAGTTGTTAGGTGGGAACTGGAAGCAGTTTTCTGTAGAAATGAGATATTAGCTTCCCAGTCTGATACAGCTAAATTGTAGTACTGCTGCTGCTAACTGTGGACTGACTGGGAACCCAGACTCCGTTATAATAGTTTTGTGAGGAGAAAATGTGTACTAAAATACAGATAAATAGATGTTTGAGAACATCTTGTCCCTCTTCCTTCTTCACGAGGTATCCTTAGTGGAAAGGGCATGGGGCAGCACTATGAATATTTTTTTTTTTCTCTTTTCCCTTGACCACCCAGAGCTGCAGCAACCCTTATCCTACAGGGGGATAAGAAGAGATCTTTGAAGGAATGCTTTTAGTTCTCATGGTAGTCGTCTTCTAAGTTCTTAAAAACCATTTATAGGTCTGTATGTTTATAAGTTGATTATAGTTTTGGAAATACTTGTGTATGTTATAACCTTCCTTTTCTTTACCCCTATCCTCTTAACATTTGGGCATTTCCCTGTTTCTAGACTTCTCGCATTATGTCTGTCAGATTGTCGTCGCCTTTAGTCTCCTTGAGCAAGCCTTCTGGTTTTAGTTGAAGTTTAGAAACCCAAACTTAAATTTTTTATAAAGGGGGTCTTTATAAATGGAAAGTGGTTGCTAACCTTTTTTGAACTAAAGATCCTTTGAGAATGATAAAATTTTGGACTCAAGATAAAACTATGTGTTAATGTCTCAGAACTCCCTTGCAGGTCATTTTTACACACTTTATTCAAGAGCCTTTGAGAAATTATGTGGTAAAGTTTGTTCAAAGTGCACTAGCTAAATTCCATAGTATCCTTCCAGTGGAATTCAGACCATTTTCACTGTAGAATTCAGACCATTTTCACATCAGTGAAAAGGGCTTATCCAAGTTCAAATTTACTCTATCATTTCTCCTGGCATTAAGTTAAGGTGCATCTCTTTCTCCAAAGGGGAATATGTAGTTAATTTTTAGCTACTATTAAAATTCTTTCATATATATATTATAATATTTTATACCAGGTAGCACTTTTAAAAACTGTGGCTTATTTGGAGAGGAAATGCAGAATGAGGTCATGATAAAATGTATTATTGTTACCATTTTCCAAATAGATGTTTGATGGGAAAGAGAATTAGAAGCAAGATTACAAACTGTGAATGAGAACCGGAAGGAAGGGTTGAGTTGCTAAAATGTCCCTAACTTTTCATTTAAAAAATAAAACACTTAGGGGCACCCGGGTGACTCAGTCGGTTAAGGGTCTGCCTTCAGCTCAGGTCATGATCGCAGGGCCCTGGGATTGAGCCTCCTGTCAGGCTCCCTGCTCAGTGGGGAGTCTACTTCTCCCTCTTCTTCTGTCCCCCCCCCCATTTGCTCTACACTTTCTCCACCTCCCATCCTGGGTGATGATGATTATTATTTTTAAAGAATTTATTTATTTGAGAGAGACAGAGATAGCATGAGAGAGCATGAGCAGGAATGAGAGGGAGAAGCAGGCTCCCTGCGGGGCTCGATTCCAGGACGCTGGGATCATGACCTGAGCCAAAGGCAGACGCTTAACCGTCGGAGCCACCCAGGTGCCCCCTACTCCTTGGATTATTTTGAAGATTTATGTATTTATTTGGGAGGGTGGGCAGCGAGGGAAAGAGAGTGTGTGTGCATGGTGAGAGGGAGAGAAGCAGACTCCCTGCTGAGCACAGAGCCCAGATGTGGGACTTGGGGGCTTGATTTCATGACCCTGAGATTATAACTCAAGCTGAAATCAAGAGTCAGACAGTTAACCAACTGAACCACCTGGGTACTCCTCCTTGGATTATTACTATGTTTTATTTTTTAAAGACTTTATTTATTAGGGAGAGAGAGAGAGCACACACGCAACAGAGGGAGAGAGGAAGAGGGAGAAGCAGATTCCCCGCTGAGCAGGGAGCCTGATGTGGGGCTCCATCTCAGGACCCTGAGATAACCCGAGCCAAAGTCAGATGCTTAACCAACTGAGCGCCCCAGGCACCCCTCCCTGGATTATTTTAATGCAGATTCAGGACTTGTATTTTATCTGCAAATACTTAAGTTGTAATTGCTGCTAAAGTGAGTTCTCAAACAGGTGTGCCACTTAAAATGGCCCTTAGCAGGACCTAAAGGTTTGCCCTTCTAAGAGGTCTTGGAATATTCTTTAAAGTGTTGAATCCAGGGCTGTGTGCATTAGGGGCAAAAGAAGGCTTCTCTTGCTTTTTGTATGAGGCTACTTCCATTTTCCATCTTTGTGCTTTCTGCTACAGGTTTTTAACCTGGACTCTAGAATAAAGTATGTAAAGACTTATATTTCTACTTGGCACACTTTCCTTGCCAGCCAGCTGGGATTCAGTCTACACATCCTGCCAAATATTGAGATAACTACTGCATAGTCTCTTAATTTGCATGACTGGTTTTGTAGCCAGTACATTTTTTCCATTTGCTTAAAGCTGTACCGAGTGTTTGTGTGTTAGAGGGATGTTATTGTCAGGAATTTAAGAACTTTGATTTGGAACTGAAGCTGATTTTTAGAAAGGGATGCATTGTTCTATTCCTGAAAGCTTAAAGTAGGCCAGGAACTTGTGAAGTGAGATGAGATTTTCATCTGCTTACTGGATAAAGTATAGGTGATTAATGAGGATTATTAAAGAATTCTGAAAGTATAGTATCATCAACAGTTTCTAGCTTTCATTTAGGTATTGAATGTATTTGTTTAGAATATATTTAAGTCATACCTAAAATTCTTTTAAGAGAAGTAGATAAGAGACCTGTTATTTATTTAGCTCCTACTTTATTTTGAGCCCTTTATATATCAGTCTGTCCTTAATCACAACTATATAAGCCAGGCTTTATTTCCATTTTATAGAGGGTAAAGCACAGGTCAGTGAATAATTTTAATTATTAGCAGAAGATCTGAAAAACAACCAAAATGTTATTTTCATGAATGAACATAATTTTATCATATTTAAAGACTTACATTTAAAATAACATGTCACTGGGGCACCTGGGTGGCTCTAGATTTTGGCTCAGAGCAAGCCCGGCATCTGGCTCCTTGCTCAGCGGGGAGTCTGCTGGAGATTCTCTCCCACCCCGCCCCCCAACTCAAGCACTCTCTC